TTATCCAAAATAGTCACATGATAAATTTGATAAAATTATAGCCTATGTTATTAAATATATTTTTTTGTCATAAATGTACATAGAAAAATATAAAAATTGATATTAATTTTAGTGTTAAGTAAATTTAATTAGACAGTTAATAAATTAAAAATTGTAACTGCACCAAACCAGAAGTCCTTCTCTGTCTCTTATACATATCTTATACTGACTATTAACTCTATTAGTTAAAAATATATTTTTTCAACTAATAATCAATTAATAAAATTAATAATCAATTAATAAAATAATTTTATTAACTGATTATTAACTTTATTAGTTAAAAATATATTTTTTAATTAATAATTAACTAATAAAATTAACAGTCAGCTAACAAAATATTATAAATGAAAATTATTTTCTTTAATTATAACAGATAAAGAGGTAAAAGTGTCATAGTATAAAGTGAGAGTTAAAATTTATAAATTTTGTAAGATAAAAAATTAAAAATAGATTTTTGTCCAAAAAAAAGTGAGGCTTTTGGCGATTGGCAAATTGCCGTGCTGTGTTTCTGCTGGATTTTATTTTTATTTTTATGTGTAACACACAGTTTTCTCCCCCCCTTTTTTTTTTCTTTTTGTGAATTCAAAGTCAAGCTTTGAAACTTCTTCATTATTTATTGATGATTCATTTTTTTGAAAAGAATAAATATCTGGCTATTGGTAATTGATCCCATTCATTGTGCCTTTGTTTTACAGATGTAATGCAAAAGCATATGCTTTCTTAGAAGGTGGAGATAAATGTGACTCGACAAAAAAAATACAAAACAAACTGTTGTTATCTTAAACCCTAAGCATTTGACTTTGCTTTGAATTGATTTTTTTAATGAGAAAATGATGCTTTATTTATAATTTTAATAACTAAGATGTAGGAGTGCCATACTGTACTAGATTATATTGTGAATTGAGATATTTTTGTCTTTTTCATCCTAAAAATATATAAAATATTAATTAGAATTAATTATTTATAATATATTTATATGAACAAAAATTTATTTACATATAAATTTTACACATTATATTTATATAAAATTTTAATTATTTATTTTTTTACTTTCAATAATTAAAATTTAT